AGTATGTCAAAACACTGATTAAAAATGAGTCACAGTATAGTATGTCAAAAACGTGACTAAAAATGAGTCATAGTATAGTATGTCAAAAACGTGACTAAAAATGAGTCATGGTGTAGTATGTCAAAAACATGACTAAAAATGAGTCATGGTATAGTATGTCAAAAAAGTGACTAAAAATGAGTCATAGTATAGTATGTCAAAAACATAACTGAAAATGAGTCATAGTATACTATGTCAAAACACTGATTAAAAATGAGTCACAGTATAGTATGTCAAAAACGTGACTAAAAATGAGTCATAGTATAGTATGTCAAAAAAGTGACTAAAAATGAGTCATGGTATAGTATGTCAAAAAAGTGACAAAAAATGAGTCATAGTATAGTATGTCAAAAAAGTGACTAAAAATGAGTCATAGTATAGTATGTCAAAAACATAACTAAAAATGAGTCATAGTATAGTATGTCAAAACACTGATTAAAAATGAGTCACAGTATAGTATGTCAAAAACGTGACTAAAAATGAGTCATAGTATAGTATGTCAAAACACTGATTAAAAATGAGTCATAGTATAGTATGTCAAAAAAGTGACTAAAAATGAGTCATGGTATAGTATGTCAAAAAGTGACTAAAAATGAGTCATAGTATAGTATGTCAAAAAAAGTGACTAAAAATGAGTCATAGTATAGTATGTCAAAAACAAGACCAAAAATGAGTCATGGTATAGTATGTCAAAAACGTGACTAAAAATGAGTCATAGTAGTATGTCAAAAAAGTGACTAAAAATGAGTCATGGTATAGTATGTCAAAAAAGTGACTAAAAATGAGTCATGGTATAGTATGTCAAAAAGTGACTAAAAATGAGTCATGGTATAGTATGTCAAAATACTGACTAAAAATGAGTCATATTATAATGGGTAGGAAAAAGTGATTAAAACTCTCTTGTCCATCTGTGTGGGTCGCGGATGTTCTTGATGACATGACAAGAAACTTCTGCTGTTATGTGAGGAGTTCGTTCTAACAGACCATAGCACCCTATCAGAGAACAGTGACTCAAGAGGTTTGTGACCAGGGCAGGAGGGTCCGACCACAGTTCTTCCTGCCAGCCTCAGGGTCCCAGAGGGTCCTCAGGGTCCTGAAGGGACAGCAGATTGCACCCAATCATCTTCCGAATGGAACAAATGATACGCTGCATCATTCCCTATTCCTTGGTGTTGGCAGCAGCATCCCAGATGGTGGTGAAGGTCATGAGGATGGCCTCATGTGGGAATGCACCATCAATAACTTCTGCAGGTTGAACTTCAGCTGCCACAGGAAGTACATCCTCTGAGGTGTTTTTTTTTTTTTCCATGAGGGACCTGATGTTCAGCTACGACTTGAGGTGCTGGGTGACGATGGATATCCATTGTCTTTATAGTTTCATATAGTACAGCGCAGTGTAAGTCATAAAAAAGTCATAGTATAGTCTGTCATAAAGTCATAGTATGGTTACATAACAGAAGGAAAACTCCTGAATAGGAAATGTTTCCTCCGTAAATGTACAGAAGAGTTTAATGCTAATTTTTCATACATTGTAAACTACAAAGTAGATTAGGAGTAAAGTACTGCAGTATATCGTGTTTTGTTTTAGTATGTATGTAGTATGTGAAAGTATGTAAAAATTTTACTCAAGTTGGTACCTGAGTAAATGTTCCTCTACTGGTTAAGTAACCATGAAAGCCCTTTTTGTAACTACGACATACAGATTTAGTTTTTTCATAATTATAAAAATACACATTTTGTATCTATGAAACATAGTTCAATCAGGAGAGACACGTTTTTAGTTTTGGAAAGAAAATTTTTAATTACAAGTGCACATGAGAATGAGATGTGAAAAATGTGAAAAGTCTTTGGCAATTAGACCCCTTCGAGATGGTGAGCTATAAGGAAGGTGATGGATCCGTAGCCAATTAGGGAACCCTCCCGGGGTCTAGACGCTGGTGGTGGTAGAGGAAGTGAAGAAGAGATGAGGATTAGATGGATGGGTGCTGATGATTAGGATGAGTAGAGGAATGAGTTTGTCAGGTTTGTCTTTGACCTTGGATACGGCGGCTGGAGGTGAACGGGGTGGAGGAGGGCAGCGATTCTGCCTAGAATGACAGCTGAAAGCGGCAGAGGAGAGAACAGATTTAAATCTCGTAGTGACAACCTGATTGGCTGATGGAGGTCGTGGCTAATTACGATAGGACAGCAAGAAGAGTGCACGCCCGGAGGCAGCTGATTGGAGGAAGCAATGGGAATGGGAGAGGGAGAACTGTGAATGAATGAGCGCAGGAAGGTCTTCCTGATTGAACTTACGCTGAGCTTCATATTGACAGAAATGGAATATAATCATACACGGGTCATTGTAAGGCAACAAAAACATTACTGATTATAAACTAACAATTTGTGTCATGCAACAGTTTGGGCAACCCTGGTCAAAAGTTTGTTTACTGTGAGTAGTTAAGTGAGTGGAAGATGAACTGATCTCCAAAAGACATGAAGTTAAAGATGAAACATGTTTTTCAACAATTTAAGCAAGATCAGTATTTTATTTTAGTTTTGTACAATTTCAGTATGAAAAAAATTGAAGAAGCACCGTCCACAAGTTTGGGCACGCCAAGACATTTGAGCGCTCAGACAACTTCTCCCAAGGTCTCAGACCTTAAGTAGCTTGTTCACAGTCATCATTGGGGAAGGACAGGTGACACAAATTTCAACTGACTCCTGAAAGCTTGTCCAAACAACCAGCAGCCATGGGCTCCTCTAAACAGCTGTCTAGCACTCTGAAAACTAAAAGACCATGAAGACTATAAGAAGATAGCAAAGTGTTTTCAGGGAGCTGTTTCCTCAGTTGGTCATGTCAGTAAGAAATGGCAGTTAACAGGAACTGTGGAGGTCAAGCTGAAAACTTCCTGAGAGAGCTGCTCGTAGGATTGTTAGAAAGACAAATCAAACCTCTGTTTGACTGCAAAAGACCTGCAGGAAGATTCTTCAAACTCTGGAGTGGTTGTGCACTGTTCTACTGTGCAGACACACCTGGACAAATATGACCTTCATGGAAGAGTCATCAGAAGAAAAGGAAACATCAAACAAGCCTGATGCTTTTTGGAAACAAGTCCTGAGGACTGATGAAGGTAAAATACTGCTTCAACTTTATGGACACAATGAGCAAAGATTACTGCCCCAACCAAAGGAGTGCAAGTCAAGCAAAATAGAGCATGAGATGGATCGGTGGTTTGCTGCGATGTCTGCAGTGATGCGGGCACTGTGCCGGACTGTTGTGGTTCAGAGGGAGCTGAGCTGGAAGGCAAAACTCTTGATTTCCTGGTCCATCTCCGTCCCTACCCTCACCTGTGGTCATGAGCTCTGGGTCGTGACTGAAAGAATGAGGTCACAGATACAAGCGTCTGAAATGAGTTTCCTCTGTAGGGTGTCTGGGCTCAGCCTTAGAGATAGGGGGAGGAGTCAGACATCTGGAGGGAGCTCGGAGTAGAGCCGCTGCTCCTTCAAGTTGAGGTGGTTCAACATCTGATCAGGATCCTCCTGGTCCAGCTCGTAGGAGGCCCCGGGGCAGACCCAGAACACACTGGAGGCTGTGGCTCAGAAGAAGAGCAGGTCGCCCACCAATTGGAAGATCTGTGGTTCGATCCCCGACTCCTCCAGTCTGCATGTCAAAATATCCTTGGGCAAGACACTGAACCCCAATCGTCCCATTGGTGTATGAGCTTGTGTGAATGGTAACTGAGTAGCAGGTGGCACCTCGTATGGTAGTGTGAATGGTAGTGTGAATGGGTGAATGTGACTCAGTAGTGTAAAAAGCGCTTTGAGTGGTCAGAAGACTAGAAAGGCGCTATACAAGTGCAGGTCCATCCATCCATTTACGATTTATACATCTCGTCTGGTCTGGGAACGCCTCCAGGAGGTGCTGGAAAGTGTTGGTGGGGAGAGGGACACCTGGAGTACTTTAGTCAGTTGGAGAAAAAGCTGGTAAAGATGGGGGTGGATGGGGGGGTGTTGATGCTTTGGGCTTGTGTTGCAGCCAGTGGCACGGGGAACATTTCACAGGTAGAGGGAAGAATGGATTCAGTTAAATTCCAGACATCACAGCATCTGCAAAAAAGCTGAAGACGAAGGGAGGACAATGATCCGTAACGCACCTCCAAAGCCTCAATGGATGACCTCAAGAGGAGTCAGCCGAAGGTTTTGCCGTGGCCCTCACAGTCCCCCGACCTAAACATCATTAAACATCTGTGGATAGAGCTCAAAGAGCAGAGCATGAAGACGGCCCAAGAATCTCACAGAGCTAGAAGAAAATCCTCCAAACAAGAACTGGAAGACTCTGAGCTGGACACAAAAAGGGTTTAGAAGCTGTGATACCTGCCAAAGGGGGCGCTACTGAGTACTGACCATGTAGGGTGCCCAAACTTTGGCTTCAGGCCCTTTTTATTTTTTGTTATTTTGAAACTGCAAAAGATTAAATTAAAAACTCATCTTGATTAAAATGAAGAAATGTTTCACCTATAAATTCATGTCTTTTAAAGATCAATTCATCTTGGATTTATTTAACCGTTAACAGGAAACAATATTTTGACCAGGGGTGCCAAAACTTCTGCTTCCATTGTACACCTAGAGCAGGTCCTCTTCCACAAAGTCTGCCATGTTGTTTCTACAGTAGCCCAGAATGGACAAACACTGGCCATAGATAGGGACATTTAGGTTTTGGTGTAAACCACGGTAGTTCTCCTACATGCTCAGCACATGAGAGAAATTTTAGTTGGCTGCAATTTCCAACCTCACCATTAGATGCCACTAAATCTTTAAGAGAATCTTTAAGTTTGAGTTTATATTTGTAGACGCTGTCAGTGATGTGTCCCATCGCTTACCTCCTCAGGTCTCTGGGGTCCAGATTAGTTCTCTCTTTACCTCAGTGATTTCGAGTCAGATCAGATTTGAACTAAACTCTGGTGTCTGTCTTCTCTCAGATCTGAGTCCGGTGAGTCCGACCAGCTGCTCCAGGAGCTTCGTCTGTGATCGGTGTGGCCGCTCTTACCGCCACGCCAGCTCCCTGCTCAACCACAAGAACAGCCACAAGACTGGGACCTACTTTTGCAGCTCCTGCCAGAAGGAGTTCCCCAACCTGATGTCCCTTAAGAACCACCGCCGGATCCACACCGAGCCCAAACGCTACCGCTGCCCTGACTGTGGCAAATCCTTCCGGGTGTCTACAGCGCTTGTCTGCCACCGCCGCATCCACACCAAGGAGAAGCCATTCTCCTGCCAGCAATGTGACAAGCGCTTCACATCCCGGTCCAACCTGAGGCACCACATGAAGGTGCACTGGAGGGCTCCGCCGCTGTCCAGAGGGACGTCGTCCGCCTTTCTCACCGTCTCGTCCAGATCATTAAGCTAAACGTCCGACCTTGATGGCCTGACTGGGCTTCGTTATGGCGACCACAGCAACCACAGCGACCACAGCGACCACAGCATGGTCTCCTGAGGAAACTCAGATTAGAATTTAAATCTAATCACAAACTGAGGACCTGGAGTTCAACCTGAAGGCTTCACGTTGAACTTTAATCACCACCAAATTTATATAATTTAAATATTTGATCTGAAAAAAAAGTCCTTCTGAATTTTCTGCTTTAAAACTTCCAAAAGATCACAGAGTCGTAACAGGAGGAGTTCACTCTTCAGTCTCCACGTTGATAATGAACAGGAAACATTGAAACCGAAACTATCATCATGGAAACGTGAACGTCCAGTTTGTTTCTCTGCGTTGATGTCAGGCAGTGTTCAGAGTCTCTGAGTTCTCCAGTGTATGAACACTTACATACACTGCAGCGGTGAACTGGGACCTGAGGAGCTGGAGTTACTCTGCAGCCTGGAGCACAACCAGCACAGGTGAATTGTGGGTCTTGTAGCCTTGAATCTTGGCGTATTAGCTCCAGTTTGTTCCTCTCATGTAATCATTATTTCTATGTTTGAAGCTTTTGGAGTTTTTTTGACGCTGACAAAGACTGTTAAGAAATCCTCTCACTTTCCACTTCCTGAGTTTTCTATCCGTGTTTTCACGTATTTAAACAAAACTCAGTGTTTTTGTTTCTCAGTCTTCTCTCCAGCTGAAACATTTATAAAACTAACAGGACCAACCTTCAAAGTTCCTACACTCATGAAATTCCAGCCCGTTCAAGTATCGCTGTGGCGTCAGACACAGATGCCAAAAGCAACCTTTCATGGTGGTATGATACGCTGCCAGTTGGCGTCAGTTTGAAGCGCTGCTGGTAACAATGTAATGCAAGGAGCTGATAAGTCCTTGTAAGGCATGAGGGGCAGGCAATGGATCCAACAAACCTCAGACTTTTACCTGCAAGCCCGGTGTGTTCACTTCCTGTGTAAATGTTAGAGCAGACGCTCAGACTCTCTTCACAGCGTCTCCTAACAAACTCGACAGTAGACGTGGAGAACAAAATGAAGATGACCTGACCTGCAGACCTGCAGGACGTGGACGTGGACGAACACCAGGAGTGTTTTCTTCTTTTATTAACACTGACAAACTTTAAGATGTGAAGCAGAGAGAAATGATGTGAGCAGAAAAACTGTAAACATGAGCTGCACTGCTGGACTCAGACTCCCTCTGCTGCTTCTGTACATGTCGACAAGTGTTTAACAGAACATTTCCACCGCTAACTGTTTGAGGTGGACAGACTCCACAGGGAGACGGTTAAGGGTAATCAGAGTCCAGAGTGTTCGGTTCTTCATGAAGAGGTTTAGATTCATGATGTAACATCTGATTTTAACTTCAAACATTAAATATGGGAGTTCATTGATGTCAACTGGGAGGAAAAAAAATCTACCATCAAAGTTTTTTATTATTAAATGTTTTAGAATCTTCATCATTGATAAAGGAAATGATGAAACATTGAGTCATGAAAACTTTGAATAAAATGCATTTCCTGTTAATGAATCAACTCAAGACTGAGTCCTAAAAAAAACATTTAACAATAAAAGATGCGACGGAGTATAAGGGCCACATTGAAGGGGAAAAAAAGCGGAGATTTCAAGAATAAAGTCGTCCCGAGAAAAAACTTGTCATATTACAAGAATAAAGTCGTAATGTTACGAGAATAAAGTCATAATATTACGAGAAAAAACTCATAATATTATAAGAATAAAGTCGAAATATTACGAGAATAAAGTTGTAATATTATGAGAAAAAACTCTTAATATTACAAGAATAAAGTCGAAATATTACGAGAATAAAGTTGTAATATTACGAGAAAAACCTTGTAATATTACAACAATAAAGTTGTAATATTACAAGAATAAAGCCGGAACTAAGAAAAAGTCATTATGAGAATAAAGTCGTAATATTACGAGAATAAAGTCGTAACTGAGAAAAAGTCATAATATTACAAGAATAAAGTCGAAATATTACAAGAATAAAGTCGTAATATTACGAGAAAAAACTTGTAATATTACTCAAATGTGTGTGTCGAGGCAACACAAAGAGTTTATATTTGAGACAAAGAGCAGCTGCCACAAGCAGGTTCATCCTCTAACCCAGTCTGTTTGTTGTTGGTTATTTCCTTAAAAACTATGACTTTTTTCTCGTAATATTACGACTTTTTCTCAGTTACAACTTTATTTTTGTAATATTAAGGGTTTTTCTCGTAATATTACGACTTTTTCTCAGTTACAACTTTATTCTCGTAATATTGCGTGTTTTTTCTCGTAATAATACTTTTTCCCAGTGACAACTTTATTTCAAAATTTTCTCGAAATCTCTGATTTTTTTTTTCTTCAATGTGGCCCTAATACTCCGTCGTAAAAAGAAAACTTTGAGTTAGTGGATTTTTTTTCTGCCATAAGAAACTGTTCTACCAGATAACAAAGAACTGGGTCTTCGCTGGACGTGAGGTTTTTCGATGAATGCGATTCTCTGCCGAACCAGAGGCTCTCATTGGTTCCTTGTGAATATCTCTCATGGACAAAGCTGATGTTGGGAGCGATGTTGTTTTGTCTCTAAAGATAATCACTCACATATTCAACCCTCACCTGTCTTCACCTGTTTATATTTAACCCTCACCTGTCTTCACCTCTTTATATTTAACCCTCACCTGTCTTCACCTCTTTATATTTAACCCTCACCTGTCTTCACCTCTTTATATTTAACCCTCACCTGTCTTCACCTCTTTGGACCAATCACTCACGTGTTAGATAGTTAAAGTTTTTGGGTTCAAACTGACGACATGTAGAACTTTAGGAAGTGATGATGTCATGATGATCATGTGTCTTTGGTCACAATCTGCAGCTGTTTTCACACAAAGGAAACTTATTATCAGATGTATCTATAACACTAACGTTAGTGGAGGGTCGGGATGTGAATATATTATAAATGATAAAGAAGTGATACAGTGTGGCTAGTTCAAACAGCTGGGGTCATGTGGCGGCCGTTTTGTGTCTTCAAAGTGACATTTCTTTTTTCATGTGTTCACCAAAGAGAGAAAGAAATCTGAGATGGTTTCATGTAATTATGACGTCATTTCTCATAATGGGTCTTATGACAAGATATTTGTCTGATAATAAAGATCTCATTATCACAACAAAACTTTATCGTATTAACAAGAAAAAACTTTCTTTGAATGAACAAACACAGACTTTTTAATTATCAAAATATTGTATTTATGTTTCATAATGCAGATACAGATTTCTTAGTTATGAGAAATTAAGTCACAAAAATACATGTGTACATTTCTTCTTTAATTTCTCCTGATAACAAGATAAATGATCTAATATGAGATCTATATCTTGTATTGATCATGTTTCCTTTTGATTGTTATTTTCATTATTAAAGATCCCAAAATTCCATATTTCATAATTATAGTTTCTTCCCATAATATTTTTAATTAACAAAAAAAAATTAATCTTCTACAAAAATGCATATCTCGTAACGATGAGAGCTGTATCTTCATGAGAGACTTAAGAGAAACATCATCATAATTCTGATCATTTTAAAATATGAACAAGAAAATCTTTTTCCTGATGATAATTATGAGAAACAGAGTCACAATTAAAATGTCTAGAATAGCTTTTTGTCTCTGGTGAATATGTTGACAGCTTCAACTGGTTCTCTGACAGATAACAGAGTTATTTAGCATTTAAAACTCACCTGTGATATTAATGCTTTATCAGATTTATCTGCTGACAGTCTGAATAATGTGCTTCATTTCATTTGGGGATGCAAAATGGCGCAGTAGAAAGTGAGCTGTAGAAAGCGTAGCAGTAGACTGTTGGTGCTGTTTGGTTAGATGATGTATCGTCACTGTACGTCTGTATCATAACCTCTGTATGACTTTTATATACTAAACAAATAACTGTAGAATATCATTGTTTCTATCTGATGAACCGACGTTAACAAAAGAGATGACTAATGAGAAGGTTTGGATAAAACAATCTGCAGACTCTCTTTTAAACACAGTTCTTTTCTTCTTGGTGGTATTTATGTCCTTGACGGTTTTTAATAAAAGACTGGACAAACACTGTGTGAAGTTCATTTAGACTCAGTCCCACATTCACCATCCTGCCGAAACAAATACTCACCACAGTCCACCATAACCCCGCCCTCATATATACATATATCAATGTTATGGAGGCGTCTCCACTGTAAAGGCTCTTGTGAGACGTGTTTCTACAAGTGAATATAGTTTTTTTATGTGGTTGGGAACTGCTTCTCACACTTCTTCCCAGCCTGCTGAGATCTGGGGAATTGGTACGGCTACAACCAAATGTGGATTAATCCGCCACTGAAAATAGTCCCCAAGTCAATATTTCTTTCTGTCAGGGTGCTGTCAGCCCTAGAGTGGTCTCCTTTGGTCTGAATCAGGGACTCATTTTGTTCCAAAGTTGTATAATTGCCTAGAGTTGGTTCGTGTTCTCACGGCAGCATTTACAAGAGGACCAGATCAACTGCCTTGTGTGAGAAAGCTGCTCTTTCTTGCTCTGTGTGCCAAATTAGCTATGCCTCTGCCTCCTTTATCGACAGTGGTGATTGTAATAAGTGTAGCTTATTTGCTGCGTTGGAGGCGAGGCTCAGTGAATTAGAAGCGCAGCTCCGCACCATGGAAAATCACTCAGTAGCTGCGGTAGTTAGCCAGCCCCCTGTAGCCGGTGCGGAGCCACATAGCATAGCCTCTGGTAGCGGTCCTCCAGTAACCGCCATGAAGCCGGGAGGCTGGGTAACTGTCCGTGAGAGGCACAGCTCCAAGCCGAAGCCCAGCCTGTTCACATTTCCAACCGCTTTTCCCCACTCAGCGACACACCCGCTGAGAATAAAACTCTGGTTATTGGCAGCTCTATTCTGAGGAACGTGAAGTTAGCAACACCAGCGGCCATAATCAAATGTATCCCTGGGGCCAGAGCGGGCGACATTGAATCAAATTTAAAACTGCTGGCTAAAGCTAAACGTAGATTCAGTAAGATTGTTATTCACGTCGGCGGCAATGACACCCGGTTACGCCAATCGGAGGTCACTAAAATTAATATTGCCTCGGTGTGTGAATA